ATAACACATAAATTAAATCAATTCTATGATCGGATGCCGATAGGACCTTCGATTCGCAAAATATAACAGAATTTCAAACAGATATTCCTACAATGAACAGATAAAAACACAAATAACGAAATACACATGCAATTAATCCAAAATTTGATCTTAATAACTTATTAGGCAGGCCCAAAAGCATGCAAATTGTTCAAAAATTCAACTTAAACTTTATGAATGTTTCATGAACATAACATGCATGAGTTCCCTTAAACTCAAATTTCTCAAAACATGATCAAATGCTACAAAACATCATGAAACTTGATGATTTCCCGAAATTAAGGTGAATTCAAGACATGCATGAGGGAATTCTTGGAAATTCAACTCAAAATGTGAGACAATATGCATGCATGTATGGTATGGTTTAACACTCTTCATTTCTAACCCAATTCCCACATAAATTCATTTAATTCACTAGAAGTCTTGTAAGATCTAACCCAATTACACAACTAAGAGTTTGATTCCATACCTAGAGACTTGAATTCACAAAGGTTGAAGTTGAAACTCTCAAATCCTCTTAAAATGTCAGCAATTCCTAGCAAATCCTTTGTTTGAGCTCAATTTCTCCCTACTCTCCCTCTCTCACGTTTTCTTACTTGAATAGGCTCAAAATGTATTGAATTGAAGGAAAAGAGATGAGTGGGGGCTCAATTGGTGCCTTACATAGGCTTGGATAAAGTGTAATTAATTGAGGTTAAATAAGTGGGTATTAATTTAATCTAATTTAATCGTTCTAAATCGAATTTTATTTAAACCTACCATAAGGTTCTAAAAATTCCAAATAACACATAAATTAAATCAATTCTATGATCGGATGCCGATAGAACCTTCGATTCGCAAAATATAACGGAATTTCAAATAGATATTCCTACAATGAACAGATAAAAACACAAATAACGAAATACACATGCAATTAATCCAAAATTTGATCTTAATAACTTATTAGGCACATGAAATCATAGATTAACGTTAATCATGAGTCAGGGTCGTTACACTTTTACACTCAGCAGTTTGCTGGGATGTTAAGCACATTAGGTTTATAAATAAATGACTAATTTGTGATATAACTATGAGTCGGACCAATTAAATTACTACTTGTTAAAAACTATATCAGTCAAGATATTTTCACTTTTCTTTGATGGTTGATTACTGAGGAAATTTGAAACATCAACACTGCTGTACCAACATCAAGTATTGTGATATTATTGATCATAGGGTATCTTGCAGCGTTCATTTAGTCTGACCCTACTGTAGTTTCTTCAAATTTTGTTTGTTTTCTATGTAATTTGCGTATTTAGATAGGCAAAGAAAGAGATGGTTAATTCTTAGTGCGCTTCAAGTTTCAATCGCATGTTATTAGATCCTTATTCTCTGTGGTGTGCAAGCTAATTGTCTCATACATATCTTGTATTAGGGTAGCTCAGTTCTATTGCCTGTATCCCATAGTGTTGCTTACTTGATTGTGATTACAAATAACTTTGACAAAACTGTGTTCCCTTAAGAATCTCATCTTATGGCATATTCCTTGTTGAAGGTACCGCGCAATCACAAGTGCATACTATCGAGGAGCTGTAGGTGCATTGCTTGTCTATGATGTCACTCGGCACGTAACATTTGAGAATGTAGAGAGATGGTTAAAGGAGCTCCGGGGTCACACAGATTCAAACATTGTGATCATGCTTGTTGGTAACAAGGCAGATTTGCGTCATTTGCGGGCTGTTTCCACTGAGGATGCCAAGGCATTTGCCGAAAGAGAAAGCACTTTTTTCATGGAGACCTCTGCTCTAGAGTCCATGAATGTGGAAAATGCCTTCACAGAAGTTCTTACTCAAATCATTCATGTTGTCAAGGAAGGCCCCTGGAAAGTTGGGATGACCCAGCGGCTTTGCCCAAGGGACAAACCATTAATGTTGGTGGCAAGGATGATGTATCCGCTGTGAAAAAAGTTGGATGCTGCTCAGCATAGTCTAAAAGAAAGAAAAATTAGCGATATTTTCTCATCTTTCTCAAAGGAGTTCTGAAATTCTAAATGGTTGCGAAACAAGTTTGAATATGTCAATGCTAGAAGCATGGAGCGTTGAGAGGGTTAACTTTCAATTTTATGGCACGTTGTGGCTCGACACTCTGTACTTCACCAGCTTAAGCCCCAAGGCTCGGGATCCAAGTAATTTTCTTTGCATTCTCCGACTTCCTCTTATTTCAATCTTTTTGCTTTCCTCAGTGTACTCTTGTAGTTCTTAGCTACCCATAGAATAGTTCATGTTTGATTGCGCAGGATTGAGTATGGCAATGTATTAAGATTTCTGACTTTTTTTGGTGTACTTGATTGATGATTGAGTAGTTGTTCTTTTTTTTGGTGGTCCATGGAAATGGTGATTAAATTGTGCATTATGCTACTGGAATTGTGTTCCCTTGGATATGCTTGCCTGAGGCAACCTTCTTCATGCAGCTTGGGTTATAGATATGTGAGCATTGTGCTATTTTTTAATAATTATTTGAATTTAAGTTATTAACAAAATCTAATACTAAAATGAGTTTGGGTTTTCTAACAAATGTTTGAATTAAAAAAAAGAAAAAGAAAAAAAAGAAGCATCTATACACTTTTGTTATCTTTTATTATTGTTTTAGCTAATTATGTGATTAAATAATATTGAAATAAAAATTAAAGTGAAAATTACACAGGTTAAGTTGGGCTGGGCTACTATTCCTCATCCTATTCAGCTCCGTGGGCCAAATATTTCTAAGCCCTAAAAATATGAAGTTGGGCTGGGTGAGAGGAAAGGGCCTATTTCGACCTATATCTATATCTCATTTTCAAACGTAATAATTAGTAAATCGTTTACAATCAAGTTGTAATGTCAAATATTGTCGGAGTAATTATTACACGATGCTAAATGTTTTTTGGTCATACAGTTTAAAACGTATGGATAGACGTGTGTGAAAATATATCAAAAGTCATAGGCTCTTTTGGAAATTAGGGTAGTAGTCAAAACTTAACTTTTAATTTATTTTGGGTTATATTATTTTTCATATTTTTTACATATTTTTTTAAAAAGTTAAACAAATAAAAAAAATCAACTTTTAATTATATTTTCAAAACGACCCATAATAAGAGCTTGGTTATACAATTTTTGAAGGGAATGGATAAGTGGCGAATTCATTGGTTTGGCATGGACTGGTGAATTTTAGACGAATTCTTCACGATTTTATAATTTTTTTAAAAAATTGATTCATTATTTACTGGGTTCATATGAATCCAATTTTAAAGCTATCTTTGGCATGTAAGTTGGAAGTTATTTTAGTCATAAAAAAATAAAACAAATTAAAAAGTTAATCAGATAAAATGTCACATTAAAATTTTAATTATTTTATTTTTTTCTCATAAAAGTCAAAAAAGTCAAAAAGTCCATCACAAACAAGACTTTTTAACTCAAGTTAAAATAATTAAAAATCAATCCACTTCCCAAACGAAAGCTAAGTATTTAAATTTGAGTCTAACTCAAATTTATCATTTTTGATAAATTTTTTTATTTTCTTTGAGTAAAAAGATTAAGATGGTATAAAATGTTCTCCAATTACAGGTCTTTCGTAATTATCTGTCTTTAATTTGTTGGAAAAATTGGTTTATTATGACTTATTTTGGCCAGACTTGGAGGCCAAAATTGAGTGAGCCCCAAACGTTTTTTGGGATGGGTCCGAAGAGGTGACGTGTTCCTTGCCGCGTGGCAAGTCACACGGTGAAGACGGAACGTCAAAACCATTTATGAGTAAATGGGAAGTTGACGTCGTTTTCGGGTTTAACATTAATTTTTTAGATAAAATTTATTTGAATTTTTTTAATAAAAATTATTATGGGAATTTAATTTAATTCTAAATTCAAATTTTGGGTTCCTAAAATTTGTAATTGTGAGAATTTAATTTAATTCTAAATTCAAATTTTGGGTTCCTAAGTGATTTCCCAACGGCACTTTTCAAATAGTTTGACTATTTGTTTGCAACGGATACATTTTTCAAAACAAAAGGTTTGAAAATTTGTTCCAAACAAACGGTCAGAAGAATTGTTTGAATTAAAAAGTGCAACTATTCATTCAATTTGTTGTACCTGTTCGGACTATTCCAACTGTCACTTTGTTGCCTATAAATAGAGATTATATTCCAGCAATCTTTACGCTTAGAGACATCCGGAAATCAGTCATGTTATTGTCTCATTGCTGTCCATTTTTGCTCTAGTACATTTATTCTTCATATTTAGTTTTAGAATAAATTAAAGAGAGTATAGATCACAAGTTTGGTTCGTCGAACAAATTTGTTTGAAGTGTTTTTACAAATTTGTGAAGATCATTGTATCCTGGGAGATAGACGCTACTCAACCGTAAGCACCGTAGCAGGGCGAATCTGTTTTAAGGATAGAGTGTCACACACTCGACTTAGTCTTTGAATTTTCTTTTATTCGGTTCTACAAAATAAAAACTGTAAGTTTTATTTTATATTGTTTGGCTTTGTTTCTATTTATTTCATTTATATAGAAGATTGTTCCAACAATCTTAAGACAGATTTGAATTATTTTATTTACAGAATTTTTCGTTTGTTTTCTTTTCTCTTTTTTCTTTTAAGAAAATTATTTTCTGTAGATTTACAAAATAACATTCTGGTTAGAAAAATAAATAGTGATTATATGCTATTTGATAGATAGTAGTAATATATTGTCTATTTTCTTTGACAACTAGTAGTACGATACTGGTGTCATTAACAATTCATAATATATTTTTGTGAAATTTTTTCAAAAATTAATTTTGAGTTTTAGAAATTATTTTCTGAGTTTTCATTACTTAACATTCTGTTTTAGTACTTTAATTATTGAAGTGTTACAAAAATTAATTTTTTGTGTGGAATTAATTTGGTTGAATAAAATTTTATTTTATTTCCAAATTAATTGGAAAATAAAAGTTACATTCTTGTTTCTTTTATTTTTTACAGAATTTAATTCTGTGAATTCGGTTTAATTTTCTGTGTAGTGTAAATTCTAATTATAATTTTGTTTTATAAATTAGAATTGATGGCTACTGAAACTAATGCCTAAACAAGTACTACTGTGGTGGCTGCAATGACGCGAACCCCTTCTCCTATTGTAACAGTACCGGTAAATCACGGGGAAAAGCTAGAGAAATTTTCAGGAACTGACTTTAAAAGTTGGCAACCGAAAATGTTGTTCTATCTTACAACTCTGAACCTGGCTTGTTTCCTTCGTGAAGATGCTCCTATCTTGAAAGAGGATAAAACTGATCGGCAAATGGTTGTTGCGGTTGATGCCTGGAAACATACCAATTTTCTTTGTCGGAACTACATCTTGAACGGACTTGACAACACATTATACAACGTCTACAGTCCTATCAAGACAGCAAAGGAACTTTGGGAGTCTTTGGAGAAATAGTACAAAACGAAAGATGCCGGCTCAAAGAAATTTGTGGTTGGCAGATTCCTGGCCGGCTCAAAGAAATTTGTGGTTGGCAGATTCCTGAATTTTGTAATGGTTGATTCAAAAACTGTGATCATCCAAGCTCGAGATTTCCAACTCATTCTACATGATATTCACGCAGAAGGCATGACTCTTAGCGAATCCTTCTAAGTTGCAACCTTAATTGAAAAATTACCAAAAAGCTGGAAGGAATTCAAGAACTACCTCAAACACAAGCGCAAAGAAATTTCTATAGATGAACTAATTGTGCGTTTGAGGATTGAGGAGGACAATCACAATTCTGAAAAGTGGGCTGGTAAGCATCCTATGGATTCTAAGGCAAATGTGGTGGAACATGCTTCAAAAACTAAGGAACAAAAGTCTTAGGGAGAAAGTTCATCACAAAGGCTTCTCTAAAGGGGGGGAAAATAAAAAGTAAAAGTTTAATGGCAAATGTTACATCTGTGACAAAGAGGGACATCGGGTCAAAGAATGCCGTAGCAAAGGTAAAAGCAAAAGAAGAACAAGCAAGAAGCCTGCTCAAGCCCACATGGCTGATGTGGACAATATTTCCAATGGTGTAGATGACATCAATCTTTCTGCAGTTGTTTCCGAGGCAAATCTTGTCAGAAATCCTAAAGAATGGTGGATGGACACTAGTGCTACTCGCCATATTTGTACCGACAAAAAGATGTTCACATCTTATTCTTCAGTGGACAATGGTGAACAACTTTTTTTATTCTTCAGTGGACAATGGTGAACAACTTTTTATGGGCAACTCTTCAACTTCCAAAGTTGAAGGACAAGGGAAGATTGTACTCAATATGACATCTGGAAAGGAACTCACTCTCAACAATGTACTGCATGTACCGAATATTCGCAAGAATCTTGTTTCCGGATCTCTGTTGAGTAAGAATGGGTTTAGGCTAGTATTTAAGAGTGATAAATTTGTATTTACTAAGAATGGGATGTATGTAGGAAAATGTTACATGTCTGGTGGCCTTTTCAAGTTAAATGTAATGACCGTTGTACCTTCAGTTATTAATAATAATACATCTTTTTCTTACTTGCTTGAATCTTCAAATTTATGGCATGGTAGACTAGGACATGTTAATTATGGATCTTTGCGTAGATTAATTAATATGGAATGTTTACCTAAATTTGACATTGATTCAAATAATAAATGTGAAATTTACGTTGAGGCAAAATTATCCAAAACTCCTTTTCATTCAATTGAAAGAAGTACGAAACCACTTGAATTAATTCATAGTGACATTTGTGATTTTAAATCAATTCAAACCAGAGGTGGGAAAAAGTATGTTATCACTTTTATAGATGACTATACTAGATATAGTTATGTTTATTTAATTCGAACCAAGGATGAAACTTTGGAAACTTTCATTCAATATAAGAATGAAGTTGAAAATCAACTTGGTAAGAAAATCAAGAAACTTAGAAGTGATAGGGGTGGTGAATATGAATCACCTTTTGGTGAATTTTGTAAAGAATATAGAATAATTCATCAAACTACTGCTCCTTACTCACCTCAGCAAAATGAAATTGCTGAAAGGAAAAATAAGACTTTAAAAGAAATGATGAATGCCATGTTAATCAGTTCTAGATTACCTCAGAACTTGTGGGGGGAAGCAATACTTTCTGCTAATTATATACTTAATAAAGTACCCCGAAAAAAAGTGAATCAAACACTTTATGAATTGTGGCATGAAAGAGTATCATCCTACAAATACTTAAAAGTGTGGGGGTGTTTAGCTAAAGTGGCTATTCTTAGTCCTAAGATAGGTCCTAAGACCATTGATTGCATTTTCATTGGTTATGCTAAGAATAGTAGTGCATATCGATTTTTAATTCGTAAATCAGAACATACTGAAATGCATGTAAATATTATTATTGAGTCTCGGAATGCATCATTCTTTGAACATG